GTAAACATTTTGGGAAATTAATACAATACAAAAATTAGTTTATCTGGGAAACTAATTGAACTAAATTCTTCAAATTTTGCACTAAGAACTTAAATATTCATCTGAACATGTTGGAGAAAAAAGAGCGGACTTTCGTCATGGGGGGGGGGGGGCTTGGAGCCCCCATAAAATAGAAAAATTCGTATATCTGAGAAACTATTAGAGCTAGAATCTTCAAATTTTAATTGAAGAACTTTGACATTCATGTGAACATTCAGAGAATAATGGGCGGACTTTCAATGGGGAGCTTGGCACCTCACATATGAATTAAATACAAAATTTCGCTTATCAGGGAAACTAATAGAACAAGATTCTTCAAATTTAGCAAGAAGAACTTTATTAGACATATGAACATTTTGAAGAAAAAAAGGGCGGACTATCATCTGGGGGTTGTGAGTTCCCATATGAATTAAATAGAAAAATTCGTATATCTGAGAAACTATTAGAGCTAGAATCTTCAAATTCTACATGAAGATCTTTGACATTCATGTGAACATTTAGAAAAAAACGGTCGGACTTTCAATGGGGTCTTGGCACCCCCTATATGAATTAAATACAAAATTTCGTATATCTGGGAAAATATTAGATTTTTTTAAATTTGTCATCGATTACATTAAAATCTTAATTAACGTTCGGAAAAATTGTATCTCTGGAAAACATTACAGTTAATACTAAATTAAAAAAAAAGAGATTTAAAGTCCAATTTCTTTATATGTATGTATATGAATCTTTGGTCAGTACCTTCTTTTAACAAAAGTTTCCGGTATATGGAGTACTTTTCTAATCTCTCCGATTCGGGAAGTTCCTGTGTTTACACAGAGGATTCCAAAATATTTAGTAGGGTTGATAGTGGTATCTTTACTAAAGAATTTGGTACAAAGATCTTATTTAAACTTAATAATGAAAGTGGTATTTTTCTAACTAAAATATCATTCCACATCTCAACTAGTCCATGAATGTCTCGAGTCCCTAATTGAAATGACGAGGCGTTTGAAAATTGCTTTCATATGGGTAAAGATACAAGGGCATAATTATAGCATTTGTATTGTTGATAAATAGGTTAAAGCGTGAATTGTATGTAGAGCAATTTTGCGGTGTCTCACTTATATTAGTTAAGAACTATGTTTACTTAAAAATATGTTTTATTGAAGCTCAAGACCAATAGTGACAAGAGCTTTCCTGTGCTATAACTAGGTCTTTATGGCCTAGTATTTTTTGAAGAATTTAAAAAAAGTCCTATTATTTACCCAATTACACTTTTCAATCGATTTCGGGCACGGGTTCCCGTTTTACACCAGTTAGTTTTAGACACTAATGAACAAAATAAGACCCATCTGCGCAAAGTCGATTTTTTTGGACACCTCTAATGATGATATGTATTTATAAAAGATTTGTCTTAGTCGAGTATAATATTTATACCCTACACCACTTTATTGGGGAGGGTATATTGGATTTGTGCTGATGTTTGTAACGCACAATAATATTGGCTATATCCGTCCGTTCATGTAAAAAAACAAACTAAAGGTTGCATTTTTGAAGATAATTCAATGAAATTTGGTACATGATCTTCTATTGTATCAGTGACGAAGCCTATTTAAAATGGTTATGATCGGTCCATTATTTCACCTTAATGGCCAAAGTATATCTGAGACAAGGTACAATTCAACTTAAATGCTTTATTATGAACACTAAATCACATTTTATTTATATAACTGGTGTAGGGTATTATATGGTCGGCCTCGCCCGACTTCTTACTTGTTGTACTTGTGATTTCCATGGAATTATCTTGCATAGTTTTCGAGAAAATTGCATCAGAATGTGTAAAAAATGCTTATTTTTTCGAGGTTGTTTTAAATTTTGTTTCATATCTTTTCCCGGTGTGAACCGATTTTGCCCATTTTCAATACCAAACAACTTAGGAAAATGAAGAACATTTTGGGTGAATTTGGTTAAATTCTATTGCTTCGTTTTATCGTGAGCGTGTTTTACACAGACAGACGGACATAGCTAAATCGTCTCAGAATTTGATAAGGACCCAGAATATATATACTTTGTTGGGTCTTAGATGCATATTTCTTGGTGTTACACACGGAATGACAAAGTTATATATACCCTCTATCACCACTGATGGTGGTGGAGGGTATAAAAATGAAAGTGTGTTTGTATGTATGTATGTTTGTTTGGACTTTATAGACTGCTAAACGGCTGAACCGATTTTCCTGAAATTATCACAGTTTCTTCCTGTATGTCTGGAAGGAACTACAGGCTACTTTATATGCTGAAATTTCAAGTGGGCGACGTTCCACGCCCATATTAAGAAAATATTAAATTAGTATATCTGAGATAATATAACAGCTAGAGTCTTCAAATTTAGTCGGAGCAACTTTAGTATCAATATAATTATTTAAGACAAAAAGTGGGCGGCTTAGCATTAGGGGGCGTGGCACCTCCCATATAAATTAAATACAAAAATTCGTTTATCTTGGAAATTATTACAGTTAGAATATTAAAAATTTGCACGAGTAACTTTAAAATCCATGTAAACATTTTGGGAAATTAATACAATACAAAAATTAGTTTATCTGGGAAACTAATTGAACTAAATTCTTCAAATTTTGCACTAAGAACTTAAATATTCATCTGAACATGTTGGAGAAAAAAGAGCGGACTTTCGTCATGGGGGGGGGGGCTTGGAGCCCCCATAAAATAGAAAAATTCGTATATCTGAGAAACTATTAGAGCTAGAATCTTCAAATTTTAATTGAAGAACTTTGACATTCATGTGAACATTCAGAGAATAATGGGCGGACTTTCAATGGGGAGCTTGGCACCTCACATATGAATTAAATACAAAATTTCGCTTATCAGGGAAACTAATAGAACAAGATTCTTCAAATTTAGCAAGAAGAACTTTATTAGACATATGAACATTTTGAAGAAAAAAAGGGCGGACTATCATCTGGGGGTTGTGAGTTCCCATATGAATTAAATAGAAAAATTCGTATATCTGAGAAACTATTAGAGCTAGAATCTTCAAATTCTACATGAAGATCTTTGACATTCATGTGAACATTTAGAAAAAAACGGTCGGACTTTCAATGGGGTCTTGGCACCCCCTATATGAATTAAATACAAAATTTCGTATATCTGGGAAAATATTAGATTTTTTTAAATTTGTCATCGATTACATTAAAATCTTAATTAACGTTCGGAAAAATTGTATCTCTGGAAAACATTACAGTTAATACTAAATTAAAAAAAAGAGATTTAAAGTCCAATTTCTTTATATGTATGTATATGAATCTTTGGTCAGTACCTTCTTTTAACAAAAGTTTCCGGTATATGGAGTACTTTTCTAATCTCTCCGATTCGGGAAGTTCCTGTGTTTACACAGAGGATTCCAAAATATTTAGTAGGGTTGATAGTGGTATCTTTACTAAAGAATTTGGTACAAAGATCTTATTTAAACTTAATAATGAAAGTGGTATTTTTCTAACTAAAATATCATTCCACATCTCAACTAGTCCATGAATGTCTCGAGTCCCTAATTGAAATGACGAGGCGTTTGAAAATTGCTTTCATATGGGTAAAGATACAAGGGCATAATTATAGCATTTGTATTGTTGATAAATAGGTTAAAGCGTGAATTGTATGTAGAGCAATTTTGCGGTGTCTCACTTATATTAGTTAAGAACTATGTTTACTTAAAAATATGTTTTATTGAAGCTCAAGACCAATAGTGACAAGAGCTTTCCTGTGCTATAACTAGGTCTTTATGGCCTAGTATTTTTTGAAGAATTTAAAAAAAGTCCTATTATTTACCCAATTACACTTTTCAATCGATTTCGGGCACGGGTTCCCGTTTTACACCAGTTAGTTTTAGACACTAATGAACAAAATAAGACCCATCTGCGCAAAGTCGATTTTTTTGGACACCTCTAATGATGATATGTATTTATAAAAGATTTGTCTTAGTCGAGTATAATATTTATACCCTACACCACTTTATTGGGGAGGGTATATTGGATTTGTGCTGATGTTTGTAACGCACAATAATATTGGCTATATCCGTCCGTTCATGTAAAAAAACAAACTAAAGGTTGCATTTTTGAAGATAATTCAATGAAATTTGGTACATGATCTTCTATTGTATCAGTGACGAAGCCTATTTAAAATGGTTATGATCGGTCCATTATTTCACCTTAATGGCCAAAGTATATCTGAGACAAGGTACAATTCAACTTAAATGCTTTATTATGAACACTAAATCACATTTTATTTATATAACTGGTGTAGGGTATTATATGGTCGGCCTCGCCCGACTTCTTACTTGTTGTACTTGTTTTGATATTAAGTTTTATTAAATTCAGATTTAATGAATGACAATTTTCAAAATCCCGCTTTTTCAATATATTTTCATTCAAATCCCACTTTTTAATCACTCAGATCCCGCTTCTATTCCAAAACCAACTGGCCACGCTTAGCATAGAAAATATTCTATCATTCGAAACTGTCGGTCCACACTAGGAAACTATTTTTGGGAAACTTTTGATTTTGCGCGAGAGAGAAAGAAATATCATTCATCTCCTTCACGGAACGGAGTTTCTCGTACTCGGAAACTCGTTTTGTTTTGTTATTCTTCTCATTCGTACAAAAACAAATCAATGCAAATTAACACGTAGTTTCTGAAGCAAAAGTTTCTGTGTGTGGACCGGCACAAAGCAAACAAATCAATAAAAACAATTTTTTATACAAAATATATTCAATTTATTTGTATCCGATTTATCGGTCGTTATTATGCTCTAATCGGTAAAAAGAAACAAAGTGAATATGTAGTTTATTATAATTTTTATTCATTTAATAAAAACAACTATTTGTTACTAATTTATTTATAATGTATTTTGAATGTAATAATTTATATATGTAGTTTTTATTTTGTTTTACCTAAATAAAAAATCCTTAACCAATTCATGTGGATGTGTAAAGATAAGCTATGTTCACAGTTATAAAATATTTGACAAAAAATCGTATCCACTATTTTTAGCTAATGTTTATTTGCTTTTACTGGACTTTTGTAGGATCTCAAATAATGCATAAACAAATAATAATAATAACCTTATGCTGTTAATACTTGAAAAAAATATTGTAACAAATCATCGGGAAAAACAAACTACTATTTTAGCTATTATTACTACTATTTAGTTTATAAGTAAAATCTTGAGCTATGTTATTAGAATTTGATAGTAATTGGAATCTCTTCGATAAAAATACACAACTTTCTTGACACCAGTATATACATATTTATGTATATAACGCGTTACAGCGTACAACGCGTATTGTCTACTTTCACCTCAAAAGTATTATTTGATAGGGACAAAATCTACTTTATTCTCATTCTATCACGACGTCTTATTTTTCTGTGACAAACAAAAATACAACAGTACTTTTAAATAAAATTGTTTGCAAAAATAAATTAAAAAAAATTAATAAGAGACTTGAAAAAGTAATTAATAATTTGTATACATTAAACAGACAGATTTGTCTACATTTATAGATTATGTCTTATGGATAGACATAAACAAGTGTGATAGCAAAAATTATGAATCGTATGTAAAATTACAATTTTAACATACATTCGGAATTGCATAAGGAAAGAGTGACATTACATATGTAAATAACTCTGATAGCACCTTTAATAATACAAATATTAATTATATGCACGGTCTATAATATAATAAAAATCTTTGAAAACAATTTCTAAAAACAACATCAGAGAAAAAGTTTTGTTAATAGATTTATGGTATTCTCATGAAGAGTTGAAATACTTATTTCGGCCTCTGAATTATAATAGAAAACTAATCCGTTTCCACGACACATTCGTCATTCGTTTTGATCGTTCATCACCATGTTTTTTTACATTCATTATTATGTTATTTGTGTGTATGATACAACAATACTTTTATTACATTATTTTAACATATGGGCAACTTCGCATCAAGTGACCCAACTCAAAAAAAATTATTTGGATGAAATTTGCACCAAGGTTAGTACTATTGGATAGTATGTCGGAGTTAGAGGGGCTTAAAGTTGGACATCTTGGTCATATAGGTTTTTTTTCAAATGAGTGTAACTTTTCACCTATTGGTCCTAGCAAAAATTTTCGAAATGGCGAATCATGTAATTCAGTTAGTAATTGAGAGTTAAATGAAGAATGAGAGCGTGAATGACGAATAATTGCATCGTGTGAACGGGGTATAAAAAGTTGTTCATGTGTAAGCAAGTTTAATACCGTAAAAAACAAAACGTGTTGAGTTTATACATGTTGATGAAGAAAAACAGTATTGGGTTTTGATTATATCGTTAATTGCAAAAAGTCAGCTTAATGAGACAAACATTTGCTAAAAATTTAAAATACATTTAACCAAATGTGGTCATAGCTTATTGTTGAATTGCATTGCAATGCATTGTTTTGGGTGATTTCTATAAATATCTTACATAAATATTAAATTGGGTCTTAGATACATCCATACGGCAAATGCTGTCAAAAATAGAAAAAACCTAAATTTTCCGTCATTGATTGACATTGGTGACAGCATCAAGGGGACACTTAAAAGTACCCACATTAAAATTAATACCTACATAGTACATACATACAAATGTATGTTTTTAATTATTAAATGTCTATACTTAAGAATTTTTATATACATGTTATGCATATTGCATAATACGTAGAGCATGTTTTTGCTACTTATTGTACTAAATAATAAAAATAATTCATCTCAAAATTAATTTGCTATTAATTTACATAGACTTAAAACGTACATACATACATCATGTTATACATTTATTTTCTGCCTCAAAAAAGTTATCAAGTTTTCAAATTATAGGCCAGTTTTCTTCACTTTTTAAATGAGATGAGAGAAAACGATTTTTACGGACTGTGAGGCAGTCTAACATACATATTTACATATTGTTTATACGTACATACATACATTACATAATTACTAAATAATTATAAATTAAATACTCGTACAAATACGTTTTAAACGTTTTAATAAATTTAAATGCAGTTGCTTTATCATTTCTTATCGCCGTCCATTTTGTTTTTGTCAAGAGATGATGACACCATGCCCCCACCATTTGATGGATACAACTTTTCGAGATAATTCACCGATTCATTTAGAAATGTCTAAAATAGAATTGAAAAATACTTATTGTTATGTCAATCATGAAAATATTATGAAAATAATCCATGTCGCACTTGAAAATTAATTTAGATACAATCTTTTTTCGCATTATTTAAGAATGCGTTAATAATATTATTTAAATGAATATCTTAGTTTCACAAGGTAACTTCAATAAGATATTTAAATATAAAACAAATAAGTTTTTTGTAGGAGAAATGGATTATTATCAGTTAATGCATGTACTAACCTGGAAAGCATGCAATACGGCCATTATAGCTGGAGAACCAAATCCATGCGTTATTAGTGAGAAATGTGTTAAATGACGTTGCATGGAAGGCTCCAATAAATGTTGAGATCTCGTCCCATATTGAGTTGTGCGATCTTGGCTAAGGACTTGCATAAGTTCCTTTGTAATCTGTTAAAAAAAAAGAAGAAAAAAAGGATTTTAAATTTTTAGTTTGAAAGGCAGAGGTGGGGGTAGTGCACTAATTTTTAACTATCACTAGTAATTAGTGGTAGTTCAAAATTATTGACTACTTTTATTTACGTTTAGTGATGAATTAAAAAATATAAGCCTCATTCAATAATAGTAATATTTAAAATTTTTAACTAAAAATAATTTAAAAATAGTTAAAATATTTGTTTTTACAGCCTAGTGAAATAATTTTTTCTACACTAAATTATTAGTTCAAAAAATATTCCTGCACTATTTTTTTTCAACAGAGAAATGTTTCACTCATTTGAAAGTTTAAGTTAATAGGACAGTCTAGAAATGATTTAAGTCAACCAAAAACTCATTGGACAAATATTATTAATGAGTAAAACGTTCATTATTTACAAAGGTTCCAAGCTATTGCCTAAAAAACATCCAGTAACCACATCATTTTGGCAACTGGCAACGCAGCTGAAGTGGCAATCGAGATACAAAATTGACCAATTAATTTATTTCTCCGAGGAGAGTTCACAATTCCGCTAAAGAAAAAGATCGTTATACTTGAGCAGAAGAAGACAAAAGTTTTGGAATTTAGGTGTTTAAACCATTTCTTTTTAAAGCATGAGATGTTGTTGGGGTAACTGCATATGTAGGGTCCATCATAGTGTCATCGCTAACAAAGTCTGTATTTTCCATTTTAATAGATGTATCTTTTAAAAAATTGAATCATTTATTGTCTCACAAATTTTTTCATTTTCATAAAAAAATAGTGCAAAGAAAATTATTGAAGCCTTTTGTTAGTGACTGTTCAAATTTGTAACTATTTGAGTGTAGTGCTTTTTTCTACACTATCACTCAATTGAGTTATAGTTAAAAAAATAAAATTATCACTAAAAAATATTAGTGCTAAAAATATAAGCTTCACTACCACTAAGCTCCAGAAAATTAGTGAAAAATATATTTTTTGAAATAATAATTAGTGCTAGTTAAATATTGATTTAACTAATAATTTAGTGCACTACCCCCATCTCTGTTGAAAGGTAAATACAAAAAAAATTTGAATGTATCAAATCATAAAAATTAATATGAGATTTCTAGCGAAATCATCAACTAGATTTCGCTTTTTTTTTATATAATACTAAAAACTACGACGGTGCACAAGAAAAAAGACAAAAACTAACAAAGAAATGAAAATGTCGAAAAAAAATTAAGGAATTGGAAAACACGAATAAAAAGTTAATTTAAGACAGAAGGTAATGGACTATTTTAATATATAATTTTTATTATAAATGAAATTCTTATAAATATCTCATATTTTCTTAGTTTGTGTTACCTATCCTAAAATGACGGCATACGTCAGTAAATGTATGTTGTTATTACCTGTTGCGAATGCATTAAAAGCTCTTTTCTTCTATAAGAATCTTGTGGTTCGGTATTGTGTCGCACAATGTATTCGGCTAGTTGTCGGGCCGGAAATTCAGTTTCACAAACAAAGTGAAAATCTTTGGCCAAATGTGCAGCCTCGCCCTCAACCAATGATGTTAATAAAGTAACGTTTGCTGCTTTACGCCTTCCTGCTGGTAAATTTAATCCAATTTTTTCAAGTTTTTCTCTTAAAAGTCTGCCGCCATTTTTACTTTTTGCTCTAAATAAAATAAATCGTAAGTTATGAATATAATAGATAAATTATTTATTTTATGTTGAAAGATCTTAAGGTCTGTTGATATTGTCATAAATATTTGTTTAGTTTTTCTTAACTTTTTTCATTTCATCATTTGAATTTTGTATAATACATATACATACATATGTACATGTATTTACATATTAAACAATTATGAACAAAATCAGAAGATCCAATAACATAATTGGGGGGATGGACTAAAACAAACCTTCTTAAAACCCCACCCAATAGGGAAGCATTTAAGCATTCTGGAGGAGACAGTCTTCTCTGAACTTCCGCAATTGTTACCTTGTATTTAGAGGTACTGGACAAAAGGCTTAAACGACCAGGAACTGCGCAAAATACTTCGCTAGGTGAACCTGAGCTAATATTTCCGACATCTTTCCCACTTTTCATGCCTGCAAAATAAAGTGAAAACAAATAAAACATTACAAACCAACATTCAAATAAATTATAACCCTAATAAAAAACATATAGAATAAAGAACAATGTGAATAAATTGTCATCGAGTGTAAAGAACACGATCATATCGAAACACATTACAATCAGTGTTACCGGTAATTAGTGGTCTTATATTACAAACAAAACATAATGTCATTCTTCGTTCATAATAACACAACATAACAATAGCAACACTGTATTTTTTTTTTTTTTGTTTTTACATAAAAAATAACCCAGCATGCATCCAGGTGTGTTTTTGTTAACACCCAAATATCAATTTACACAAATAGTCTACAAGTCTCAAAAATAATTTTAGCTAGACCGCTACCTTACTTATGTTTTTAATTTTTTACAAATTCTTATAAACCAAACGAACAAGAAAATGCATATACAAAGTATGTATATGATGTATGTATGCATCCTTTCCAAAACATAGGGTGAGTCTTGTAAATATTAGACGAAAAACTGTTGGATGAAAAAGTTCTGGCTTTTTAAGTAATTACTTTCGACTATGCTAAAATTTTTAGTTTTTAACTCCTAAAAAACATTTTGTGAAGTTCAGTTATAACTTAAAACCTAAATCCCTTTACAGAATTTTATATAAATCAATTAACCCAGATGTTTCTCAAAGTGGCGCACGGAATGATAAACTTAATGACCCCTGATGGTGAGGTTCTATAATAACCAAGGAAACTAAAAATTTGCTTTAAAAAAGTGTTTAAAGCGCTTTAAATATGCAGTAAAGAACGCAAAATATGCTATTATAATATAAAAAATCTCCTCTAAAAATGAAATTTTAATTATTAAGTAATGAAATAATCAATATTTAATGTCATATTTCTTCCTACAAGATTTATTTTATAAAATTGATTCATCTCATAGTTTCTTCCAATCGTATTCAAAGCTTCAAACTGACATTTTTATCGGTGTTGCCATAGAAGCCAATAATTATGGTTACTAGTTTTTTAAACGACAAAAATGCATTGGTTTCATGACATTCAAAGTTATCGGTTCTATATCCGATTTAAAAATTAATGTTTAACGAATAAAAAGAACTACATATAATATTGGTTTTCATGATACTAATGTATTTTTCCCGCTTTCAAGCTCTACAGATTTTTTTCAAAATTTTAAAACAGGCATAAAATGTTAAATAAATAAAGAATAAAGTTTTGATTTTTTTTAAATATACAAAAATGAAAAATAAATCACAAACCTTAAAAATATGCAATAAAAGATTAAAATATGCTCTAAAAACTCGAAAATATGCCTTAAATAAATAAATAAAAGCTAAATCATACAAAATTATGCGCTTATGGGTAAAATATGCTCTAACAAATCGATACCAAAATTCTTAAATTGGTCTAAAATGTGTAAATATCCTATCCATGAGTCCATACGACTCACCACAAAAAGCAGGCAATAAAATTTTCAAAATGAAATTTTGTATGTTTTTTTTTTTATCCTGGAAAATTCAATCAAAGAATATTATAATATTGCATAGAATGTAAACATTAACAATACAAATTTAAGTATTTTTTACATCTCTTACTTACTTTTTATTAGAGGTAGGTCCGACATGAAACCAACATTATCGTCTATTCCTGGATTTTGACCATCATCCACAGCATTTTGCAGCGCTTGATGCAAAGCTAAAGGATCGTGATCATGTGTAAGACGGCCTCCATGGGTAGTACCAGTTGATAAACCACTTCCATAATCACTTCTTCGGTCGGAATATGGAAATCCATGTGATAATTGTGTCTGAAATAATTCAAAAATACAAAGAATAATTGTCTTGATACATATGTACATTAGGGTATAACCAAAAATAGGCTCTATCACTACGCGGTCGCCAGTAGTGTTCTAATAACAAAAATGTTTTTCTCGGGTCATTTTGGTGCAAAAACTCTCAGCGGCTAATCAATTTTATAAACCCATTCACCAACAAAATTTTCTAAATTTTCTTCAACTTAAAATTTTGTTCTGGTGATATTTTCAAACTACTAGTAGCAATTTTTGTAATCAATTCAAAATTAGAAACTCTAACATGTATTTGAGATTTGAGACATGCATATGTATTTGAGATTTTGTATGTAGTCCAGGAAAATAAGGGTTATGCTGCGGAATTTTAGATACATAGCTAAATGAAAATTTACACATAGCTTCTCCTTAGCATAATAAGTAAGGGATTAAAAGTCACCGAAAATATCGTGTACGCTAAGCGAGATATTGGAGGTCAAAGGTTAAAAAATGTGTTTTTAGAGAATATCTCGCTTATTATGCGTCGTACGCGTTTTGATGTTATTATAATTTCTATAAAATATTGAATTTCCTACATTTTGGTTGAGGAATATTTTCGCATAACATTAGTTGTTTTTGAGCTATAGTGTTTTTTGTTTTTTCATTGCAAAGACATTTTCAAATTTTAATAAGTATTTTAACACCAATATAGATAATGTCGCATTTTTTCTTTCTAATATTAGCTAAAAGTACATAATTAATTTCTGTTACATCCTTTGTCACAGCATCACTCTCTGGCCCATAGTGCAATGTCCGTCTATCCGAAATTTCCGATGGGGCCAGAGGTCACAATTATGAAAATATTTTGAAAAAAATTAGTCGATATAATCTACAAAATCAGGAATATATTTCCGCTAAATTTCATTGAAATCTGACTACAACTTTAACTAGCTCTAATATAGACAACCGACTTTCATTTGTTTCCAATATTAATGTAAACCACAGTGTTTTTAAGTTTTTGAAAATTCAAAAATTGTTACAAAATATTTAAAGATATGAATATTACTCTAAATATGTGAATTGTGACCACCAATTTGTTTCTAATTCTGATCATAAATATGACCTGTAATACTATCTGAAATTATGGATAGACAGACATTGCACTATGGGTCATAGAGTGAATTTGCGCACAAGATATTTTCGGCGATTTTTAATTCCTTACTAATTATGCTAAGGGGAAGCTATGTGCCAATTTTTATTTAGCTATCTGAAATTTTCCATATTGATCATTTTTTTGCCTAATTTTCCTGGGGCAATGTATTTTTTTTAATCTAAATGTTATTTAAGAAATAGTAAAATGATATAAAACATTTTAAACCGTTATATTCGAAACAATAATTGTGACAGTCTTAAAGTAAATGAGTCTTATTATGGATAATTTCATTTTATAAGAACGATGTGCTGCCTTTTTGTCTACCACTGTTTTAAATTAAAAGCATGGCTGATGTGGAGTAAAATAATAAAGAAAAAAGAATAAAATAAATCAAATAGTTCAGATTTTTCTTTATGCACTAGAAGATGAACAAATATTTTTATTTAAAAAAACATCTTACTCTGTTCTCAAAGTTTTGACAAACTTAAGGGTTGTAAACTCATATTCGTACTACGTAAATATATACTACATACATACATACATACACATACTAAAGTATACGCACTGTTTTAGTAGAGCCAATCGTATAATTCGAGCGTGGTTATAACAACATGATTACAGGGTAATTATAAGCAAGAGACTTAATGTGAATTCTCCTTCGAATATTACTATATAACCCTGTTAATAAGTAAGTTGTCTAAGTATGTGCTGAGTATTTGTTTATGTTGTTCTTCAAGAAAAATTTTACAAATTCTTTGTGCTAAGATTATCCCAACAATATTTTTAGAATGTTGCAGGAATGTTTCCCAATATCGTAAACAACAAAACATAGAGAAGGAAAAAAACTTTCAAGAAAAAAAATAGATTCATGCATACACTATAGGCTAGCCCTTAAATTATGTTATTTTTTTAATTATGACCTACATACATACATATTTTGTTGGGTGATACTGCAACTTGATAAAGATTTGATCATAATTTTTGCATCCGATAGTTTTGGAAACAGAGGAACAAACTAGATCTTATTAAACAAAAATTTTTTTAGGGCAGGTCTAATAGGAAAATTTTGATAAATTTGTATTTTATATACATTATGCACTATAAAGTGTAATTCCTTCATTAACTCTCTCGGGGCAAGTTTTTATATGATGAATAACTTGGTTTGTATAAGGACAAGAATTAAACCAAATTATGTAGAGGGTTAAATAAAGCCCAAACTATATAGTTTGGGCTTTAGTCCTCTACATATGTAGAGGACACAGTCGAAATTATAATCTGTTGTCTGTTTCTGAATTGATTTGGATAAAAATGCAAATTAAAAATACTTACCACGTGTCCTTGTAATTCCGCCTCTCTGTGAGATCGATGTATTCCTAATTGATCTTGAGTACTTCTCAGTCCAGCTAACTGATTGTAATGATGGAGGGGTGTGTGATGTAATGTTGGTAAAGGTTGCCCATAAGGATCTGTTCCTAGATACTCTAAAGCACCGTGGTTCTGTAAGTACGCAGGTATCTAATCAATATTAGTATAATTTTTAGTTTTTTTTTTTCAATTATTGCTTTTATGAATAAAGCTTTTATTATGTAAGGTTACGTTTATTACCTGTTGTTGAGGAGGACTTTGTGTAGAGTGATGAAAGGGAGGTGGAAAGTATGGAGGTTGAAAATCAGATTGTAACGACTGATGATGCATGGTTGCAGCAGAACTATGAGTTCCGCCATGACCACTATGACCAGCTGTGGGACCACCCCTACTAGCATGACTTCCTGTATGTGTTGTATAAGCTGGGCTATTGCTTGAAAGTCCCAAACTCCCATGGCTAGTCAAGCGTTCCTAAAACACAAATAAAGAAAGATTGAATTACTTATAATATATTGGATAAATCATACATAATAAAAAGTGTGCAAAGTGGACATATTCCTTAAATAATGTTAAAATATGTCACTTTATCCCTCGCTCACAATTCTGAAAGAAATTTGTTAATGCATCATTTGCAAGTAGAGTCTTATTCATAAATAACATTTTATTTTATCATACAAAATTTGATTTAGAAACTGTTTATAAAGTAAAAATTTTATTATGAAAAATTTTATTATAAATAAACAACAAATTTTACCCATTTTATTTGATTGTACGTGTTTTTTCACACAAACACAAAAGAAAATATAATTTAATGAAAAATAATGATAACGTGGAGCTTTAGCGGGCTTCGAAAATAAAAAACGATTTCACGGGCATTTTAATCAAATAACTCCTTTTGGGAAACCCATTTCAACAAATTTTAGGCACTTGGGTAATAACATATAGAAATTTATACAAGTTAGAGTGCCATATTCGGTTATGCGGAATTTTAAATACCCTCCACTTGTAAGCCACTGTTCATAAAATCTATTTAAATAGTAAATTTTAATATTTTGCTTCCGCAATTTAGTAATTTACATAAATATGTTTGTCTATAGAACTAATTTTGACCAATTATGAACCGATCCTGGCCATCCAAAAAGATTTATCATGTTATTTCTCAATGAAATATGTGCATTTATGTAATTTTCGGATGAGGGCTTTATATAGATAATTGGCTAAGACCAATTATAGACCGATCCGGAAAATTTTTTGAAAAAAGATTTATATATCGAGGGACTATATTCAATAGTCTCTATATAAAATAATACAAGTTTTCAGGAGAGCAAAAAAACTGTTTATTTCGCTAGTTCGTGAAGATTTTTAAATTTTTTCTTTTACAATATATTTCTACGACCATATTCTAAACCCTTATATAAAAAGAATTTTAAATTTTGCATTATTTACAAAATAATTCACAAATTTATATCAGATAGAGCTTATTTTTCTACGAAAATGTTCATTCAACCAATATATAGAGAGTTTTTCATGGAAATATAAAATTTTTATTTGAATTAAAATCAATAAATATTATATTTTATACAATTTAATGGGGAAAAGAAACCAAATTGTTGAAAAACCAACATATTATAATGTTTTGGTCGAAAATCAATGTTATATGGTTAAACACGACAATAAAATTGATTTAATCAGTATCATAATGAGCGATATCTCAAAAACTATTAGACCGATTTTAAATATTTTGACGGATTTGTGTTCCAAATTATTAAGAAGACTTGTTTTGCAACAGAAAATTATCCAAAGGGATAGAGTTTGAAACAATTTTTGGATAAGATAGAGAGTTTTGCATTCAGAATTTTTCTTTTTTTAAGATAGAGAAATTTAAAAAAAGCTATAAAATTGACAAAAAATATTATTTTTTCTTTGAAATTTATATCACTGATGCGGGATAGTTTGCTGAATATTTTGCCATCAAAATCTCATTTTCATGAAAATGACAGATAGCGACTATTGAATATAGTCCCTCGATATACACATGACACACACATTACTGTCGAATTTTATTCCGATATCTTTATTTCTTAATTACCCAGCACGTGTTAAAAAATTAGTTAATATGCTAAATTTTGGACCGATTTTACAGATAAAATGCATTAACATATTTGCTTTGTTTAGCCAGACAGACGGACATGTCTAAATCGATTCAGAGTTCCATAAAGACCTCGAATATATGTATATATACCCTGCCAGCAATTGTAGGTAACTACTAGAAAAATTCACTTCTAGTTTACTTTTACAGACTGATTATAAGCTAACTACAATGTAATGCAAAAATTTGGCAACGTAAATAACCGACTTTTTAAGACTAACTATAAGCTAAATATCATATAATGCAGAAGTGCCCTAAAATAGAATGGATGGAATTTTATTTCGACATATTTTTTCTTGTTCTCTATTATTATGAATTTAATTTGTTAACTTCAGCAGACTGAATATAAACAAACTACAATATAATGCAGAAATGTTCCAAAATTTGATATTTGATGAATAAATAGCCGGTTTTTAAAGACTAAATTCAAGCTATCTACCATAAAATGCAGAAGTAGCCCAAAATTCTCAGGAGAGCATTTTGGTTCGACATGTTTTCACATGTTTCTTTATTATTTGGAATTTAGTTTTAAATTTTTGTCATATTTTAGAATTTTTACATTGTGAGTCAGTACAATAAACAAATAATTATAAAAGGTTCAATATTACAAAACTCGATCTCTAATTCCTAAATTCTGCTGATTGATACTGTAAATATATTATTACATTAATAGTTACATTACACATAAAATTTTTAAATGTATTTTAGATTTGGAACAATAGAAATCATGGAAATAATAAACAAATCAGTCATAATTTTATGAATACCGCCGTTCCCCTATTATAAATTGATGTCTATTAATTTTAACGAACTAATGTCATGACTTGTAAAATCATATCATAGGTGTATATATCCAGAGTATTTTCAACTACTTAATGGTTCTAAAGAACTTAAACTGACAATTAACTTCAAGAATAAGGACTGGAACTACTTTTTTTAGATTTCTCTGTTTTTAATATTTTATGAATAATTATAAGAAAATAATACCCGGTGTAATTTTAATAAAGAATTGACTTTAAGCTAACTTTTAAGTAACAAAGTTTAAGTTAATTTTAAAGTTATGCAGAGTGGGACAATTGACTATTACCCATGACACCCCAATGTTAAAATAGTTAGTTGGCCCCATTAAAAATAATATAAGGGTCAACCACAACTCGTTGAGAAAAAGTTAACTTATAATGCATTAAAAGTTAGTTGAGCTGCTGGCGGGGTACTTTGTTGGGTCTCAGATGAATATTTCTTGATGTTACTCAAGGAATGACAAACATATGGGAATGGTAGAGGGTATTACATACTTTTTCCGATATCTATCTTCATTGTATTTACTATACACTCCCGCTCACTTAAATAGTTTCACTGTTTTGTTTACATTCAAATTAATTATTTGCAGAAAGTAATGGACTAATTAGTAATTAAAAAATTTTAAATAATAACATGATGTCTTAGGTATCACCAGTAGGATAAAAATGAGCGCAATACCTAATAGCTGATTTTTAATTTTTTTTTTTTTTTCTTTTTTAGCTATATTTTTTTGGCTCACTTGATTAGGTTCAGTCAGAATAAAATCAGTTTACTGCTGGCAGTGGGTAAAATCCATTCATATTCTAGTGTCTGTGAATATATACAATATATTTTTTAAAAAATTAGTCGCGATAAGCCATTAACTAAAGAATAAAATTACAAAATTGAAGCGTTTTTGGAAACTGTCCAAAATCACAGGAATTTTCCAAAAAAAATTGGGCAAATTCAGAATGTTATTCGCAATTTTATAAGAAAACAGTCTGAATATTAAGAAACCATTAATAGATGTACATATGGAGTCATAACAAAAGAGGACAGAAGAGATTTCCAATTCAAGTGATTCGCAGCAAAAAGTAGGTGTTACAGCAAGCCTAGCTGCAGTAAAACGTATTGTAAGAAGGGCCAAGGCTTTAACAATATTAAAAAAAATATATAAAAGCCATTCCAACTGCCACTCGTAAAGAAAAAACATCTTCAATTTACACATGAACACATGGTTATAAGAAGCAATATAAACATCTTGTTTATTCGGAAGCAAAAAAGTTTAAATTAGAAGGTCCAGATCGATATAATCATTATTTTTATGATTTTTGAAAGGAAGAAGTGAGTCGTTTGCATCTACTGTGGAGGACGTGGAATGTAGAGGAGTCAATTTCGTACTATGAAAAGTGAGCTTCAATTTCTTTTATCTAGTAAGAATTATAATGATTGTAAAGCCATACTGGAATCAGCTTTTTCACATTTTCGGATATCTTTGAATCCTTGCCGTGGATATTTCAAACATATAGTGCCCCGATCCATACCGCCAGGAATGGATTCGATGCCAGAATGTAAAAAATTTTGGAGTGGCCTCCATAATCTTCTCACCTGTTTATTATTGAAAATGTTTCGGATATTCTTTCTCGTAAAGTGTATAGGTCGGGCAGACAGTACGACACAAAAGAAGCCTAAATTGAAGGAACTAAAAAGGCTTGGACCGAAATTTCCTTGTCATTACTTAAGAATCTTAATAACTCTTTATCACCTCGAATTTTCGAAGTTATATCAAGTAATGGTGGATATGTTCCTCCCTAAATCTTTTCTAAAACATTGTAAAAATCTTTTTAAAAATAGAAAAGTTTCATGAGAAATGCATTTTGTTGTTTATGTCAATTAAAGATGATGAACCTATTCAAATGAGTCAAAAAAATATTGTTTAAAAACGTAGTGTTTTAGAAAAAAATTATTAAAAATCGGTTATTAAGTGTTGCACTAATGTTTGTCTATCTAGTGATACATTAATTAAAATTTTAATATAATCAATAAGTCCATTTTGCAAAAAATTAAATTGAATGTAAACAAAATAGTGAACCTATTTAAGTGTGCGGGAGTGTATGATTGATATTTTCGTACATTTTTAACTCGTTTGATGATTTTCGGACCATACGTAATAATATTTTCTTTGATAAGTCTAATTTTATTCCATTGGGTCTAAAATTATCTGATGTAAAGCTAACGATAATGAACATCCATAATTCTTTCCTCAAACTGACAAAAATTAAATCACTGGGAAATGATACTATTTTTCTGAAAGGTGGATCCGAGTAGAACAAGAATATATTTTTGAAATTTGCCAAACACCTCCAAAATCTCGAGTTACGGGTAAAAACCCGGTTTTTATACCTTTAAGCACTTATATGTCAGTAACTTAGTTGAATCTGAACCGATTTTAAGTTTCTCCACGGATTTAGAAATCAGAAGCTGAGGCCTTTATAATGGCATATGTATATAACGTTTAAGTAAACTGCAGAGATATGTGTGA